CGTTGTCATTTTCCACATCTTGGCAAAGCTGCAAGCTCGTGTGAAATGATCATCTGTTCGTGCACGTTGACAACACGAAATGACAGCATAAATGCAAGTCTGGACAGCGTCTTCATCGCCATCACTTTGTCGGTTTCATCAATCGCCTGATTGTCAGTTTTGTCTCGACCGATACGAGACTGTGGACAACTCTTCAAAGTGACTGCACCGACACAAAGATGTTCACATACCAAAGTAAGTGAACAATGTATAGATGAGCAAATTGGTATGTCGTTGGGGAGAACTAACAAACTGGATAGACGTGAGTGAATGAAGAAAAGAGGGGCCGAGTAATTCGGTAGGTGCAGATGTTGGTATAAGTAATTTGATTGCCGCATAAAATGGCATAAAGTGTAGAAATTGGCATACAGCAATTGGACACAGCATGAGCATGTGTACTTGGCTTCATCAATAAGTCGTGTTGACATCATTCAATTAGAGCTAGTCGCAAGTAGAAATTGAGACAATTTTACCTAAACAAAACATTTTACAGAAAAGCCAAAGTGTACCAGAGACGAAAGTAGCACTGAATTTGCTTGATGAAGTAAGGCGAAGCTTGCCTTCCGGAATTTGAGCTTATAGGGCTGAAGATTAATTATCTCTTCTGAATATTTATGTAAAGACCACAGAATATAGGCTAGAGGCATTTTCTGACTTTCTGATAGCAGGCCTACTTGACATTTTGTTAGTAGTATCGTCAATTTCCATGTGAATCTGATCGATCGATCCATCTTCCGAGTGGGAAAGTTTCATTTTGGCACCGTGAGGCTATGACAACACACGTCGACCTCAGAAACCCTATTCCACTGGACCTAAGGCCGCCGAAAGTTGTTGAAAAGATCTGTCAACTATTCCAAGCCCTAATTTCATTCGGTGGAGGGTCAACTGAGCTGGATCACTTTGTGAGTCTTTCAGCAACCGTTCCTTCAATGTGTATGCCATTTTGGATGGACTCGGAGCCAATGATGAGCATAAAAGTTGAGGATTAGTTTCGGACAGGAATAAGTATGACCTGATAAGGCTCAGGTTGAGGTATATGACATGTATTCATCCTATTGCTAGGTGAATTTTACCACAATCAGTTGAGGAGGCCTCATCTTTCTATTGAATCACACACGGCTTTGCATCCAAAAAGTTGACGTAGGTGTGATTGCTGAATTTGCCAAACAAAATGAATAGAAGACCTTCAGATTTCAGCGAATTTTCCTCAGCCTT